GGGGGGGGGGGGGGGGGGGGGGGGGGGCTGGTGCCCCGGCACCTGGTCCTTCCCCACGGTCCAACCCACTTTCCAGCTCTCCCCCCCAGGTCCCCTCTCACCAGCTATGCCTTCAGTGTTATTCTGTTTGTTGTTCAGGAAGGCAATCCTTGAGCCAGGAGTAAATTCACTGGTCACCTTGCCTGCCCAGGCAGGCCAGCAGCCCCCGCACCTGGGGCCTGTGCTGTCCCTCAGGTGCTGTCCCTTTATGGGAGTGCTCCCATAGACACTTGTCGGGGTCTCAGCTGTCACGGCTGTGGCCCCCTTTTCCTCTGGGGAGCCCCTGCAGCCTTAGTCTAGCTACTGTTTAAGACTTCAACTCCTGGGGATCAGCCCTGCCTTGGCAGGAGCCCCTGCTCGGGTCCAGTCTCACCGTGCCAGTCTCCTCCCCTCTAGCTTAGGGCTAGCTTCTGGCACGAATAGCAGGGGAGTGCCACCAAGGCACCGTTTGTGGTCCCCTCCACCCCTGAAGCCACAACCCGGTCCTCCAGTGTCAAGTTCAAACAGAACAAAAACTCGGGTGCCTGTCCACCTCCAGCAACCCCTTGCTCCAGGGAGCTCCTCTTCTTGCTGCACGCAGGGGCTACCCCCGGTGCATGGTCAGAGACTGAACTTAAAACCCTCAAGCCCAGCCTCCTTCTGTCCGTGTGCCTGGGTCTTCTGCACCCCAGGACAAGGGTGTAGCTAATTGCTTCATTAGCCACCTGGCCTTCTCAGTCCCTGGCTCAGTCCACCTGGGCTGCTGTTTCTTGTAGCCCTTCCTGGCCCTGGCTTTCCTATCTTGTCAGGCCGGGCTAGTGACAGGGGCAGGGGTTCCCTGCTACAGAGACCCCTTTGCAGGGAGGCAAAACCCCACTGCTTCGACCCTCTCAACTTGCAGAACAGGCCAGTGCAAGCGAGGAGAAGGAAGCAAGAGCATGTGCACTGCTTGTGATTCCTGGTGCCTGCTCCTGCGGCCACATGCCCCCTTGCCTACTTGGCCCCTTTTCCCAACTCTTTGCTTTTGTTTGCCTGCTTGCTAAAGACTATTGAGCTTCAGACAGGCACCCCTCCCCCTGTTAGCTTTTACTGTTGCATTTTCCCTCAGGAATAAATGAAACTATATCCTCTGTCCTAGATACGCGGCCTGCGCCTCTCCATAATTTCCACCAAATGCATTTCTGCACCTTTACCATTCCCCCTGCCTGTCTCCGCAGCTCTCCGTCTCTTACCACCCTGCCCCGCATCATTCCTTCTTTCCTTCCCCATGAGCCACACGCCGACGTAAAAATTCCCAAATACTGGTTCATTTAGAATAATGTTTCTCTTCCTTGATCCTGTCTTCCCAGCCCAAATCAGCTGCCTACATGTCAGGATGTTGGCAAAGAAGGATAAAGATAAGCCCCCAAATCCCTTGGGGCTAAGGTGCTTTTGGGAGTGGCATGGGGTGGGAATGTGGTAAATAGCCCGCTGTAGTGTAGGTACAGTCCCTTCTAACTAGCAGCTCTTGGCATGCGTACAAGTACGCCCTGCTGCCCTGTCTCCCTCTGCCTCTCCCTCTCGCTGCTTGTCAGCACAGCTCTTTGCTTCTCTACAGGAGCAGTTACTTATTTTTACATCTCTGCCCTTCTCGTGTCCTTCGGCCGTGGCGAGAACGGCAGCGCTTGTGGGAGCCTGTCGCATAGGCTGTCCTGCCTGACAGGCAGAGTGCATGGCAGCAGCTGGAAGGGAGTGGAGGAGGCAGATCCAGGGAGAGGATGTGAGGGCAAAAAAGGGGCTGAGTCTAGAGATGGGACCAGCGCCAACTTCTCATCGATTGAGCTAAGCAGTTTGAGCTCAGAGGCTGCAGGCGTTTTTCTGCTTGTGCGCGGGCACCGCTGCCAAGGCCAGCTGCATTTCTCTGCTGTTTCTCTTCTTGGGGCAGCTGCCTTTGTCACCTGACTGCAAAGGCACCCGGGACCCTGCACCACTCAGCGCTGTCCTGTGCTCTGCAGGGAGATGGAGCCGTAGCAGGAGCTACCGATGGAGGGCATGGTGCTGCACCAAAGGAGTCAGGAGAGGAAGATGCCAGACGGGGCAGGAGCTGCTGGGCTAGAGCAGCTGCAGAAAGGTCCTCCCCCGAGCCACCAAGTGGAGCAGCAGGAACTCCTGGGAGAGGAGAGCTGTGCCCTGGAGAAAGGTGAGCAACTGGGGCAAGGGGACATGTCAACCCTGGAGGCGGCAGAGCCAGGGAAACAGCTGCTGAATGGAACCGGGAGCCAGGGGCCCCCGGAGCAGGAGGAGATGCCCAAGGGACAAGACCCAGGGCCTACAGTCCTGGACGCTGATGGAAATGTTGCCTCAGGAGAAGCGATACCGAGGGCCTTTTGGAGAGCTACCAAGGGGGACCCCGAGCCCTCCGAGGAGGGGAGGAATGAGGAAGCCCTGATGGGGGAGCTCTCGGAGCTGGTGCACAAGGTGGTGAAGAGCAGCACCTGGTGGGAGAGATACGGCGTAGACAACTGCATCATTGCCCTCAGCCTCCTCATCCTTCCTGCAGGTACCAGCGACAACGGGGTGCCCACTGTGAGGGTTCATGTAAACCCTGGGGTGTGGGGAGCAGAGCTGGTGGGGTAGGGCCCTCAAGTCCCCTTCACAAGGGTGACGACTCCCTTTGCACTAGCTGGGCAATAGCAGACCCTTTCACACCACCTATCGTGTGTGGGGGAACGCTTCTCCAGCGCCTACTCTATATCCTCTGTGATGGCCAGTGTCCCAGAGCCCTTCTCCGCCCCCCTCAGGGGAGAGGATGGCATCAGGGTCCTGGACTATGTGAGCACAACGCCCTGCAGGCAACATAGCTGAGCCACTGGGGATGGGTTTTGGAGATCAAGTCCGACTGCTAGGGTGATCCCAGATAAAGCAGAAAGGGCTGGGATCCCAAGCAGCGGGGTGGGAATAAAAGAATGGATAGGACTGAGCTGAGTTCAGCCTCTGTGCCTAGGATCGGCTCAGGCTCAAGGAGTTAATCTTGTGAATCACCGATTTAGAGGGTAAGCCATAGGCATGAGACTCAAAACATTTGGGTTTAGTTCCTGGCTATGCAAACTGTGTAACTTTTCAAATGAAATCTCATCCCAGCTCTCTATATGTTCCATGGGGATAATTACAGCTGATTAAAACATTTCACAATGGAACATGCTTCCACTTGAAAGTCTATGCATCTCTATTGTGGCTGTGCCTATGCATCTCTGTTAGCAAGGCAGAAGAGCTGAGGTCCAGGGGAAGCCAAGGCTGCTGCCTTTGCAGTGCTTCGGGTGTCTCTGACTGAACTGCTGGTCAATGCAAGCACTGTCTGTACCAGGGAGATTTCTAAGGCGGGGCAGGCAGCTCGGCTCCAAGGGGCAAGGTTCATTATGACATTCAGAGGAGCGACTGGGGGCATGCTTATAAATATGATAATGAGAGGTATTAACTGCAAACAGAGCTGGGCTCGCAGCTGTTTCCTGGGATGTGCAAGCATTGCCCACCCAGGTCCCATTTTACAACTTGGCAGCGTGGCAGCACGTTATTTGTTTGGGGCCAAAGTGAGGAGTACAAGAGACTGCCTCTGGCAAGCATAGGGGCCGCAGTGTCCTATGGCTGGTGGGTCTCCACCCATCCTGAGACTGCCCAGCGCTTTGTCTGCTTCTGCTCCTTGTGCTGCCTCTCTGACTTCCCAGACCAGTTTGGAGGCTTGCAGTGCATTGCAACATTGCCCAAGGACGGAATTAGGAAAGCAACAACCTCCTCCTGACAATGTCTCTGAACACCACGGTCCAGTTTATCTTCCTGGAGTCAGTAGTGTGACATGTCCCCCTGGAAGCACTGTTTCCTGTCCTCCGGGGTTGATGGGCACTGGAGTGGGAGGGGGTTGGACATGTTGCTTTTCCTGTGCCTGTCCAGTCTAGAAGTCCCTAGTCAGGCAGAATTCCTGTTGGCCAACTCCTGGGAGGGACTGAGCCCTTGGAAAACCCATTACCCTCATTGGGGTGTGTTAGTTACATACTCCATACAAATCGGGATGAAGCTCAGTGGGTGTTTTGCCTATGGACTGGGGAACACCTGGATAAGGATTTGGCCTCCTAGAGAAGGCCTGCTTAATCCTCACGTAGGCAGTCTCCCATTGCCTTCCTTTAGTGGGAGTTTGCCTGAGTGAGAAATCAATTAGGTTCTTGGAACCAGTGCCTCCCTGTTGTGCAGCACATTTTTTGGCTGTGAAGTACACAGTTCTATGCAGAGATCCCCAAGCTAGCTGCCTGCACGTGCTCTCAAATTAGAAACCATCTGGCTGCATTTGCACACACTGTCCTGCTTCCAGCTTGGTAGCTAGCACATGCAGAGCTTGCTCCGGTGTCTCTGTCTGGCATTGCTGTGAGCCTTGTAGACTTATCCTTGGGGCCTGGGCCTGCACAAACACCTACAAGGACAGCAGGAAAATGGTGTCATCAATCATCCCATGGTGTTGGTCTGGGCATCCTGGGAGTCATGAAGGAAGGCATGGGGTTGAGAGTAGGTAAAAAGGGGAAGAGGCCCCCAGGGGAGAAGTGTCCTTGGGATACAGAGAGCTAAGCACAGGCAGGGGTGGATTTCTGGAGTGTTTGACAGTGAGAAGAGCTTTGATCTTCACCTGCAAAGAGAGGAATTGTTCACAAGGAGGAAGAAGGGGCATGCAGTGCAGTATGTTTGGGGTCCCACATTCAATTGATTCTAGGCATCCTTGGGCCAATCCCTACTAAGTTTCAGGAAAGTGAGAAGACCAGAAGGGAGAAACATGGAGGCCCCTTCCTTTGGTTAGCAGAGCTGGTAGCTTCGACCCCCTCTGGGCTTATAGAGCTCAAAGGACAGGTTGATGGTAACCACTAAAAATCCCAGCATAATAGTCACTCTGGGTATTGTCCTGGTGAGGGAGGGGAAAAAGAATGATAGGAGGAGCAGGGAAGAGAGGACAGCGGTGGCCCGGTACCCCTGGTATGGATGCGCAAGGGATGGGGTCCACACAGAACCCCGGTGGGGTTATGGGAGGCCCTGGTCTGGGGTAGAGTGGACAATGGAGAAGGGTAGATGTGGGGACTAGGGGCAATAAGAAGACTTGGGAGCGAAGTGGAAGCACCCAGGTCCTCATGGATGAAGGGGCAGGATGGCCATGATGCGAAAGGTCCTCACACAGCCCTTGGCAGGAGGAGGAAGAATGGAGACTTCTGGTATGTAGGGAGGGGGGTATGAGCATCACACGGATGCTGGGTGTGAGGGAGGGAGACGGGGTGGATTCCACCAAGTCCCTGAAATAAGAGGGGTTGCGGGGTGGCAGAGATGGGAGTGCCGAGGGTGGAGTAGAGGAGTTGTGGAGCCCATGATGTGTGCAATATACAGGAGCACGAAGGCTGATGGGGCACTGGCCGTTATAGCGGGCTGCTCACACCTGGCTAGAAGGTGAAATGGTTCCAAGGTGTCCCTTTCTGTCCCTAGGGTTTTTATGCCTGCGTTCAGACAACACCTTGCCTTTCCTGTTGGGCATCTTCATCCTCGGCATAGCGCACCATACAGTAGCGGTGAAAGCAACCCACTTGGCCAGCCACAATGCCTTGATGGAGTCCAAGACTTGGGGAAAAGTTTGGGCCATATTCTTCATTGAGGTATGTGACCACAAGCTACGGGGTGTGGGTGAGAATACGTTGTCACGTTACGCCCTGTGGCAGGCTCTCAGATCTAGAAAATCTAGCAGGAGAAACACAGTGGTGTGGTGGTGCTACAATTATGATTCGGTATGACTGTGAGATGCTGCTGATACTGTGTTATGTTCTCGCATGGGGGAGGCTGCATGCATGTGTTTGTACACACATGGAGACGGGGATAGATGGTAGGCGGAGAAGGAAATGTTCTTTGGCAGAGGAATGGAAACTGGAGCAGACGCAGTTTTGCCAGGTATTTGAAAGCTAAGAGTGGCATTTCTTAGCACTGGATTCTGAAGTGAGTCACACTGACATAGCTGAGATTGGAATTTGGCCAGCGGGCCCAAATCACTGCCCCAGCATGTTGCAACATGGCAGCAGCCAAAAGGAGGAAGGTCTTCTCTGTGGTGGGAATGCCAAAGGAAGTGACGGCAATCCACGTTACTTGTTCTCCTGAAAGTCAATTAGATAGGGTGCTCATAATAATTTGAGGAAAGTCTGGGATGGGTAAAAGAGTCTGCAACGGGGGGTGGGGGATGCCTGGGGGCACAGTGCCAGGGGCCCCAGATGATTGCCTGGGCTCTCTGGAGCAAATTGAAGCAAAAGTGCTGGATTGATGTGAACCCTCCCATAAGTGCCTGGCTCCTGACTCAGGAGTTGAACGTGCAGGCGGGTTCCTGCCAATCTGGGACTTCTGCTTCATTTTTCTTCAATGTCTGGGATGTTGAGACAGCCTCCAAAATCTAGGACTGTCCTGGGCAATCCAGGACATATGATCACCCTACGATTAGAGTGTGGATGGAGATAGGCTTTTCTGTGTGGCGGTAGGGGACTGGACTAGGAGCTATGGCCTCAAGCTCGAGCAGAGAAGATTTTAGGTTGAACTAAAGAGGAAGTTGATGATGATGGGGACGGTCAAGCATTGGAACAGGCTAGGTAGAGAAATTGTGGGATTTCCAAGAGCAGGTTAGACACGTTTGGCTGGGATGGTTTAGTCCGATACGATCCTACCTTCAGCAGGGGGTTGGACTAGACGGCCTCATGAGGTCCCTTCCAGCCTTACTTTCCTATGAGTCTATGACAACTGAGAGTACCATGATGACCTTACACACAAGTCTGCATCATGGGGAGTTTGGAGAGACAGCTTTAGTCCAAAAACCTACACATTTCAACCAATGGATTGATTGATTGATAGCAGGGCCTGTGCTTCTGAAGCAGGAGGGTTTGAGCTCCATTTCTGATGTTGCTGCAGACCTGCAGCCATGAACTATTATGTGAATACAGATCTAGTAAAATACATTATTAAGACATCCAAGTCATATATCAAATTCAAGTCCGTGTTGGAAAATGATGACAAAATATCTTTCTAATCTCAGCGGGCATGGGCTGCAGATCTTAGCAGGAGTTTTCATGTGACAATTCATACATTCAGAACAGCCAGACTTAGATGGGATCACTTAGTGGAGTGGGCTGGGAGACTGAATTCTGCATCTTGTTGCCCAAGGTAGTTTAAGAAGCATTAAGAGAAGCTTAGGTTTAGATAAGTTTTAAGTTTAAGTGAAATTTTCTGTAGATCACAAGTTTGAGAGTTAGGCTGAAAAGGAGATCTTGACCTGAAATCAGAGAAAGAAGTGTATGGCTTTAAGAGTTGGAGAAAGATGAGAAATAATTAGAAGTGCCCTTTATATAAAAAAAATAAAGCCCTCCAAACAAACAAAGGTAGTCACAAACTAATTTATGTAAAGCATGGCTTTTTCCCTTCATTGCGGCTGTAAGTCCAAGTTGGCATTTTTTCTGTTTCTTTTATTATACTGATGTATATTCCTAAACAGGTAGCATAGCATAAGTTAAGGGGATAGAATAGTACAAAAAGAGGCATGATTTTAAGATTGGGATCTCTGACTTGAAGCACATTTCAATGTGCTGTAGAAGTCCACTTTTTCTATTCACTGGTTGGAATGAACCACCTAATCAACAGCCTGTTGTTAAGGTGATGCATTGCTCTTTATGATTTGCTCTTTTCTGATTTTTATTACAGCCATATAAAAATTCTAACTTGGCATTGGAAAACATCTGATGGAGGCCCTCGGAAAAGGTTTTTTTTCCCTCGGAGCATTGCTACCTGAAGTCTTTCAGGTCCAAAAACCAAGGGTTACTTTTCAGGGTCCAAAAAATACGTTTCATTTGAGATAGTTCTGGCCAAATACAGTAAGGTAGCAGTAATCCAAACATTCAATTCAACATAGAGTGCAAAGTAGGACTCTGAATTTTGTCCCCATTTGCGGGTTGCTTGGATTCAGGATTTTTGACAAAGTTTGTTTCTAAAAATAAGTGCATATTTCTTTGCAGAACTGGAGTGGTTTTATCAAGGTGCATGATCTTGGAGCATAGTGCTGTCCTCAGCTATGAAGCACATGTCCTTGTATAACTTGGGAAATTAGCTGCCATGCTGGCATCATGCATCTTCAGGAACATTGAAGGCATATGTATTACTTGCCATGACTGCATGCCTGGTTTGCAAGACCTCTTCTCCAGGTGCACACCAGTAACAAAGCCTTGAGCATGAATCCCTGTAACAATGTCATCTTTCCAGACCCAGTGCTTTGTATCGGCCTTGTTCTGATCTGTGCATGTCAGCTGTGGAGCACTTACTTTCGTCTGATTTCTCTTCCAGGTCTGTTCAGCTTTTACAGTTGAACAGGGAATCTACAACCACGTGAAAATCCACCATGCATACACTAATGTTATTGGCCTGGGCGACTCCAGCAGCTGGAAGCTTCCTTTCTTGAACCGATATGTCTACATGTTCATTGCACCCATAGCCATCCCTATTTTAACCCCTCTAGTAGCACTTGGTATGTTGTTTTCCTCTGAGTTTTTCATTTCCTGCTGCTTGGGTAATAACTGCAGAGGATTATTTATTTCTTTATTACAATTGCCTGGACAGACCCCAAAATGTAGTTAAAGTTGATTTTTTTCTTTTTAATGGGGGTTCCAGTTAGGTGCCTGCACTAGGATCTGCACAAATGCAGTCTTTATCCCAAAGAGTTAGGACAAGACATAGCAGGTGGGCATAGGAAGGAGCTGGGCAGAAACTGATGAAACTTTTTGAAAACCTCAGAACTTGACTGATGAAACAGGATCTTAAATAGAAAACAAATGAGGTTTAAAGGAGAAACAAATCTACACCACGCTGTGTCCTAGATAGCACTGTGCAAAACTGTTCTGAAAGCCAGGAAACCTAAGGTGTAGGAAGTGGAGAGGGGAAGGGCTGCACCTGGAGTTTGTATGTAGTGACTGCACAGCACCTCTCCTGAGGTTGGGATCTGGATGCCCATAGGAAGCCTGCCTTTTGTTGTGCAGATATGGGGAAGGGTAGACTGCTGTCCATGGGCAGATCTAGAATTTTGAAGAGGGGGTGCAGATGGTGAGGTGCATCATCATATATAAAACACCACATTTTCACAAGTTAAAAATAAACCAGACACTTTACTAATATGCTAGGGGCCTAGGGCTGCATTACTCAGTTTGAGATGGAAGCCAAAACATAACAAAACTTCATGGGAATGAATTAAAAACAATCTGCAGGGCTGTGAAATAGGAGCTTCATTACCAGGAGCAGCTAGTAGACAAGATAGCTTGATTGAATCACAGAATTGTAGAAAATGAGGGTTGGAAGGGACCTCAGGAGGTCTAGTCCAACCCCTTGCTCAGAGCAGGGTTGTCCCCAACTAGATCATCCCAAGCAAAGCTCTGTCTAGCCAGGTCTTAAAAAAACTCCAAGGATGGAGGTTCCACCACCTCTCCGGGCTGTGAAACATCAAGATTGGTGGAAAATCAAGACCATTAAAAGGAGGAGAGGGTCATTAACACCCACGGAATGAAGAGTATAGAAGGGATCAGGTAGATGATAACAAGCCATGAAGTCAAGTGACTCCCTCATCACTGCCGGACTAGAAATGCTTCTGCCATGGCCAGGCAGTTGGTTTTAGCCTCTGGGTGAAGCAGGACCCCCGCCCCGGATCTGCCCCTGCTGCTGTCCCACGTGCCAATGTTCTTCCTTTTGTAGATTTACTGAGGAATGTCAAGTTGGCAACAGCTCTCCGGACAGTCTGCTGCATGTTTCTGGGTCTCTACTCCCATTACTGGCTCCTGCTCAATGTCTCCGGGTTCCAGTCAGTGTGGTCCCCCCTCCTCTGCATGTTAATGACACGGTCACTCCTGGCCCATCCTTTTCTCCACGTTAACATCTTCCAGGTAGACATCTCAGGTTCAGCATATCCCAAGGTTCCTGGAGGCAAAGCAAAGCCTGCTTGTATCAGTTAAAGATGTCTTGCTTTGACTTTGGCAAGTGGCAGCTCTACCAGTTTCAGACCAGTGTCTCTTGATTTTGTTTGCACTAATTTTAAACCTGATTAGATACAAAATGCAGCTTGAAGAAGGGAGAAGCGTAGAAGGGCTAGACTCTCATCTCGGGACAGTGCTATAGAAATGGAACAACTCTGTTGACGTTGATGACATTTCTCCAAGTGCGTGCTGATAGAAATGAGATCATTGGCTCCTTTTCATCTAAGAAGGCAATATTAACTTCAGTAAAGGGGTGTTTGGGGGAGAATGGCATGATCCCATCACCACGGGGGGCGGGTGGTTCCTGCAAGCTGGGAGGTCACTGGTAGATCAGTCTTGCCAGGCATTGGATGAAATGAATATGAATGGCTAGATTTGAATCGTGTTGATGCAGAGTAACTTCTCTGAATTCAGTTTGTTTGCTCTGGGCTAACTGAGCGGCAGTCAAGTTTGGTAGGTACAACAGAAGCTGCTTCTTTGCAGGGAGGACTCTGGGAGAAAGTGGAGAGAGCAGTGTGTGCATGCTTCCATACCTGCCAGCTTTCTCATCCCCACACAGTTAGGGATTTGCAAAGTCATGAACAGAAAAAGAAGGAGGAAATGGAGAAACCACCACTCTTCGGCCTTTGCTTGACACAGATGTATCTGCCTTGCCCTCACAAAGCTGTGTCCCTTCCCCCTGCTTGCCTGCCCTAGAAGCAGATGCCAGCCTCCTCATGTTTTGTCTTTTAGCACATTGGCCTCCCCATGTTCGCAGTGGATAAGAAGCCCAGACGGATTCACCTGATGAGCCTTGGTGTTCTGAACCTGCCCCGGAACATCTTGCTGGATTGGTCTTTTGGGCACTCGCTCATCAGCTGCCACGTGGAGCATCACCTCTTCCCACACCTCTCGGACAACATGTGCCTGAAGGTAAGAGGTTGCACGAGAGTGGATACTTATGCGTGGATAGCAAGGAAGTCCTCATGAGCGTGAGAAAAGGGAAGCGTTGAGGTGATGAGACAAGCTTGCATCTCCCCTGCCTTCCAATTTGATCCAAATGGAAATGTCACTCTTTCCTTCTCTTGCAGATCTGGCCTTAGTCCCTTGGCATTGCCTTGTTCTCCTCTTAAGTTTAGGCTCCTTCCCATCCCATTTGCAGAACAGTCTATCATGACTGGTATCACTGCCCCCATTTCACTTCCCACTCCCCATGCTGTATCCAACCTTCTCTTCCTTTGTCTCTTCTCCCCTGTTCTTGATACTTGATTCATTACTGGAACAGCTTCTAAGATCTCTTTAGCAAGCTCCCTACCTGTCCTCATGGGAAAGCTTCTGACTGTGCAACTAACAAGTGAACAATTCCAACTACCATCATAGTTGCTCTCTATTGGGTTCATGCAACCACTCAGTTGAAGGCCTAGATCCAAACTATGGGAAAGCTGAGATATGGATTCCTGTTTGCAGTCCAGGCGCATCCCTACACAGAATTTTCTTGACACCATTTACTTATTTTAGGTACACTTACTATACTGTCAAATAAACAGTAAAAGACCCAGTGTTACTGTGATTTTTATCAGCTCTCACAAGATAAATAAGGCCTGCCTTGGCTGCTCCCCCAAAACCCCTTTGGAGCAATAAAGGTTGGTGCTGCTAATTCAGTAGGTGGCATTTTTCCCTTGTAGTCAATGCCACATGGCCACCCAGTAATGATGTGAAGGAGGATTGTTGGCGATCCTTTCTTTACAGAGGACACGTAAGATCACAACAGGGAGTGCTTGTTACCATCTGACCCTTATTGCAAGAGAAAGGTGTTTGCCTCAGTGGGTCTGTCCCGGTTCCAGTGACTGTTAATATATGTTGCCAGTGCAAACTCCTCTTACTTCTTGAGTCAGATATATCTTGATTGTCTGACTGAAGGCACCATGCTATTATGACCAAAGGGTCTGTATTGTTAAGTGGCTTTCCCCTGAGGGCTGGCTGGATTTCAGCAGCAGTGGGATGATTCTTATGAGCATAGTTTTAACAAGGATGTAAAGAGTGTCCTGGATTGAATGTCCTATAAAAGTCAAAGTCATTGTCATTAGAACTGACCCTGCCATTCTAATGCTTCCTTCCCTTTTTAGGTAAAGCCCATAGTCTCTCAGTACCTGAAGAAGAAGAAGCTGTCATATAATGAAGACACCTACATGTCCAGATTCAGGCTTTTTCTGCACAACTATGAGGAACTGATGGTCTACGCCCCTCCAATAACAGAACTTGTGGGGATTCAGTGATGACAGACCGTGGAACACTGTCAGGACATCCGTGGGTCTGCCCAGTGGGAAGGCTGGTTCTGACAATGTGAAGAAGTTGAGAACCAAAGACATCTGCCCTTATAAAGCAATCAGAGAGGAAATGAGTTTATTCCAAATATCTTGCTTTTATATAGATAAAGACACACATAGGGAACAAAACAATAACAGCTGAATAAGGAATAGCAGCTGACCAGTGATGGGGGAAAGGGAATTATGTAGCGCCATTACATTAGTACCCACTGGGAATTTACTGGGAGGATCAGTAGCTGGCATTTAGTTTTCCTCCATTCTGTTTTAACTCTTGATTCCTGATTTCTGTTTTGTGGTGTCTCTGGAGCACAGGACTGGGAGTCCACTATGGAGGGATTTCCAGTTCAGTTCCAGTGTGCCACGGGCAGAAGGAGCTGGGAAGCTGGCAGTACATAGTCTCTTAACTCTAAGGCAGCGGTTCCCAAACTGTGGGTCATCATGACCCCAAATGGGGTTACAACATCAGTGGATGGGGTTGTGGGGGTGGGGCTGTAGGTTGGGAGTGAAGGGCTATGCTGATGAAATGGGGTCATGCTGAGGAAAAGTTTGGGAACTACTGCTCTAAGGCAAGGGATCCAATCAAGGCAAAGTCTGTATTTGGGGACAACCTAGAACTGGTTGCCATCTGATGGCTGTTTAGCAGCCTCTGTGAATTGAAATGATGGGGCTGCACATGGGGAAAGATTCCCATATTACAAACTGTGGTCAGCACACTCAGTTGAGAGGGGGAAGATGGAGTGAACCACAGAGAGCCAACTTTCTTAGAGCTAGTCCCTGAAGATTAACGTGGAAGCATTTGGTGATGTGGGATTGGTGCGTATCACTGCTACTTGGGGTCTACCTATTTAATGGTCAAATAAATTCCTTTTAGGGCTTGTGGCACCCCCGGCTGGCGCTTATGAGTACGCTCCTGCTCCGTGGTCTGGGTCCCCGACTCGCCTGCCACAACTTGATGGAATTGTAAAAGGAGGGGTTCAGTGGTGTTCCTTCCCCCTGACCCGAAGATGGGGATACTTTTGGGTTTGCTGTGGTTGTCCTTGGGGCTCTGCCTCCCCTACACCTCATCCACTTGCCAACCATGTGGATCTTTGTGGTGTCCCACCAACTCTGGGCTATAGTTTCATAGTTTCATAGTTTCTAGGGTCGGAAGGGACCTGTGCAGATTATCTAGTCCGACCCCCTGCCATGGCAGGAAAGAGCACTGGGGTCAAACGACCCCAGTAAGGTGGTCATCCAACCTCCTCTTAAAAATCCCCAGGGTGGGAGCCTGCACCACCTCACTTGGAAGCTGGTTCCAGACCCTAGCCACCCTGACCGTGAAGTAGCACCTCCTGATGTCCAACTTAAACCTTCCCTCCGCCAGCTTGTGACCGTTGTTCCTGGCCACTCCTTGCGGCGCTCGGGGGAACAGGGACTCCCCCAGTGCCTGCTGATCCCCCCCTAACCAGTTTATAACAGGCCACAAGATCCCCCCTCAGCCTTCTCTTTTGGAGGCTGAACAGGTTCAGGTCCCGCAACCTTTCCTCATAGGACCTACCCTGCTGTCCCTTGATCATACGAGTGGCCCTCCTCTGGACCCTCTCGATGCTGTCCACATCCCTCTTAAAGTGTGGCTCCCAGAACTGGATGCAGTACTCCAGCTGCGGCCTGACCAGTGCCGCATAGAGGGGGAGGATCACCTATGGCCCATCTGCCATAGGATCACATATGGGGCCTCTGCCTCCTCGGATATGGATAGGGCACAGGCTTGGGAATTCAGCCCGCCCATCTCTCTTCCTCTTGGGTCCACCCCAATCCGTGCGCCAGCCCTGGGGCCTCAGATGAGTGCTTCAGGGCTGGGGTGGATATGGCTGGTCATGTCTCCTATGGAGAATCACTGGCCGCGAGTCTCTCGTGCTCCAGGACCGAGGTTTACAATGTCCCAGCCGGCTTCTGACTGCTGCTCTTGCCTGTTCACCGTGGGGCAGAGTCGGAGGGCTTGTTCATGCTGGTGTCCCAGGTCTAAGCTGGCCTGGCATCTTGCCAGCTGGCTTCCCCCCTGCATCCGGCTTCCAGCGGTGTTTTTGAATCTCCTGTGGCAGTGGCCTCAACTGAAGTACTCAGCTGGCCACCGCCCAGCTTAATCGACAGCTGCTTGAAGAGCCAATGCAACACCAGCTCGCACAGCTCTTTCTCCACCCCAGTCTGCCTCCTAGGTAAGTTTTCTGTGGTGTCAGGGTCCCTGTTCTCCTCTGGAAGCATCAGGGTCTGCTCCTGGCACTTCTGGCCCCTGAAGGTGTACCCCGCCACCACAGGGCTCTTGATTTGACAGCGCCAGCTGGCATGTTGGGTGTGAGCTGCCTTTTCTCAGTGAAATCCATTCCTGTCCACCCTGAGGGTAGTATAATGTGGAAGGAAGGCTGGAGGATTTGGGGAAGGCTTAGATCAGTGGTTTTCAGATTGTTTTAGACTCAAGGCACTCCTCAGAAAATGCCAGTTCTTAGCTTTCACCCAGTTTTTGACTATGGAAAAGTACTAAAGCAGTCCTTTTATTTCAAAGACCTCCAAACCCCACAACGGGTCAGAATGGCTTTGACATCATGGATTCCTATTTAAAGTCTCTGGCTGTGTCCAGATGAGTGTGGACATGTGGCATGTGGCACTGCAGACCTATCTGCAGCCCCACACACTGCACATGCAGGCATTCTCCACACAGCTACCTTGCAGCGCAGGGTCTTTTTTGATCCTAGCAGTTTCTGGGGTCAAAAAAACCTACACTGAAAAAAAGCAGGGTGGCGCTAGGGCTGTGTGAAGCTTCAAGTGGTGATTTGATTCAGAGGAAATTTGGCCTGATTCGGTGACCGAGTCTCTGAATCCGAATAGAATCAGGGGACCAATTAAAGGGTCCAATTCAATTCAACGCTTTCCCAATCTTCGGCAAGATTCGGAGAGCTTTGATGATTCGGGCAGTCCCCTGCCAGCTCTCCTGACCCTCCCCTGCTTCCCCAGCCCTCTCATGGCTGCCCTTGCCTGCCCCAGCTCCGTACTTAAAAAAAAAAGCCCCAGTGCTCATCAGGTGCTGCTGGGTGGGGGGAGATCCCCTCTGCCCCCTACTGCCCCATGCTGCATGGGGGGCTCTGCATGATCCCCCTCGACCTCTGCTCCCCCATGGCTGCCCCTCCTGCCAGGGCTTTGGCTCTTTAAAAAAAAATAGCTGAGAAAAGCCTTGGGACTCACCGCTCCTGGTGCAGCTTCGGGACTTCATGCAGGCACAGCCCCCCATGTGGTGGTGGCAGCAGGGATCACCCCCGCTGGGCAGAGCAGTGAGTCCCGGGGTTTCTTCAGGTTTTTATTCTTTAAAGGGCTGGAGCTGGCCTGTGCAGGGTACCCGTGGGAGGGTGGAAAGTGGTGGCGGATCGCCCACTGCCTGGCAGCACCTGCTGAGCCGGGGCTTTTTTTCCCCAAGTGCTGGGAGCTGGGGCAGGCGGAGCAGCCATTGCTGGGCTGGGAGATGGGCAGGGGATGGGCTCTTGGATGCACCCTCTTGGGTTTATTTTGTGAACCCTTTGTAGGTGTTTGCACCCTGGCTGAGAATCACTGGTTTAGAGAGACAGCTCTTTGGGATGCGTTCTTTGGGATGGAAGCGGGTAGGACTCATAAATTACCCCATCCTCCTGCAGCAGGTCTGGAGGCAACTGTTGGCTCTCTGGTGTGTACACAGGTATCAACAACACAGGAAGTTTAGTGAGCGAAAAATGAGGCTGACATCTGGGGACCTTCTAGCTTGCAGCCACTGGAGGGGTCTTCAGCCACAGAAGAGGATTTCATGGATGTCAGAGAGAAGTGAAGTCCTTGCCCATTGAACTCAGTGGAAAAACTCTCACTGATTGCAACAGGACAAAGTTTTCATCCCCTGGAACACAGCACTTTACAAAGGTAAAGGGGAACATTTTCATAAGTTCCCAACAGACATACAGCTAAAGACATACAGCTACACTGGCTAGCACTACGGAAGAAAGAGACTTGGGGGCCATCATTGACCACAAGATCAGCATGAGCCTGCAATGTGATGCTGCAGCTAGTGAAGTGACCAAAACGCTGGCTTGCATCCATAGATGCTTCTCAAGCAAATCCTGGGACGTCATTCTCCCCTTGTACTCGGCCTTGGTGAGGCCGCAGCTGGAGTACTGCGTCCAGTTTTGGGCTCCACAATTCAAAAAGGATGTGGAGAAGCTTGAGAGAGTCCAGAGAAGAGACCTGCGCATGATCAGAGGTCAGGAAAACAGACCATGGCTGAGAGCCATGGGGCTCTTTAGCCTGGAAAAG